GTCGTCTCAGTCCGCGGCACGGCGGCCGAACCTCGCCAGCCCTTGAGCCAGCCCGTGTTTAGCTGGGCAGCGCTGCAGGCTGCCCGTGCTGCTGGTGGCTGAGGGGCATCGGAGCTGGGACCAGCACAGCCCTAAACTGGGATTATGTGCTTCCCCTGTCAGCCACCTTGTCGGTCCTCCTCGGTGTTATCTGATCTTGGCTGCGTACGCTGCTTTGCACGAGTGAGGCTGGGATGGGTTTCTAGCAGCATCTGGATTTATGGTTCACCTGGACAACTTCCATGCTCCCCTGGACCTGCTCTGCTGGCTTGCAGACGGATAGTTGCTGCTGTACGGGGAGGGAGCAGCGGTGAGCTCCCACGGTGCGGGGTTACCGGACCCTCTGTCTTCCATGTACGGCGATACTTGGAGCAGAACAACACCTCCGCTAGCTGCCAGATTGTTTTCTTCCTCTAGCAACGAGGATCTAAACTTGCAGTGATCATAGCAAAGCAATTTGCAAACAAGCTATTTTGAGAAAGTCTCTTGTTAGTGGTGCTATACCATTCCTCCCACACTGGAAACCACTGTGCTTAGTGCAAGAGTTCAAAGTCAGAACTGATAAAGAAGTTGAGGTTCATAATGAGGGATGCTGCTGCCCAGTTTATGTCATGGAGCTTAGAGCTGCATGAGAACTGCTGCGCCGCTTTCCAGATCCAGTGCAAATTGATCTGGTTCAATGTTTTTAGTTCCTTAAAGCTTTTATCTCTTTAGCTCCTTAAACATCCTGAATTTGGAAAACAGATGGGATAAAAATTTCACTTAGGTTTCTAGTCCTCGATTACTTTCTTGTACAGTAACAGTATAACACAACAGGGCTCTTGGCAAGCGCAACAGATATTTTTGGCACAGGAGCAGATAAATACCATTACTCCTGTTGCCAATGCAGTGGCTGGGAGCAGGAGGGTCATGCGCAGACCCTGCTGCCTGTTGAGAGTTGTCATCGCACTGTCCTGCTGCCATTCGTGTCTGGAACGGCGAATAGCGCTGCCGTCCAGAAAGCGACGGGTATTTAGAGCAGCAGGTTCCAGCAGAGCAGGGCTTCGAGGAGCAGGGCTGCGGGGGACTCGCCTCCCTGCCAGACCCGAAGGCTCTGCGGTGCTGCCTGCTGCACACGCGTTGGCGAATCAAACGAAAAGGGACAGCAGACAATTAATCACTATCCAGGCGCTATTTATCTGCAACTCTGAAGTAAACTCCCAAATGATGGAAATATGTTAGTAATTTTTGGCCATGTGTGCCTTTCCCCAAAAACAAGGCAGAGCCAAATGGCACAGAAGTGATATTTTAATGTACAACATATTTTCATCATTTTTCCCATGTCTACTAAATTCCTCTTCGTGGTCATGGCAAAGGAACATTAATTTTTTTATTCGGGTTGCGATTAACTCGGGAAAGTGCTGAACCCAAAGAGGAAAATACTTTCCATTGAAGTGGTATCGGGTTAACTCCCCCCTCCTGGAGAAGGTGCGTGCGCTGCCGCCTGCTCCGCACACCGTTGCCGGAGCGGCGCGGTCCTGTCTGCACGGCAGGTCCCCGTTAGACACGGCCATTTTCATGGGACCTTATTGCTCAATGTCGAAACGTGCCGTGCTTGGAAACTTGTTTTGCAGACACCTGAGGGGCAGGAGTGACTGAAAACAAATGTTTGAGAAGCTGAGTTGACCTTTTAAATGGCCCTTTCGGGAATCTCTTGGCGCTCCTAAGGCAGGGAAGTCGGTTGTTTATTCAGCTAATGTTTTGCTAGCCAGGAGTGCACCGTGTCAGCCGAACAAGTCTCCCTTTCCAATAAGAAATGCTGAGCGTGGTTTGTGGAGGGGAGGAAAGGGAAAAGGGGTTGTTAATGCTTTGCCCTCCTGTTCCCCTTGCGGGGGGCATGGCTCTGCTCCAGTCGGGGAGGACTTCTGTATCGCATCCCTGAGGGCTGGGTCATCTCCACCAGCCCGGGTTAACCAAGGCTCTCGCTATTCCTGGGAACAGTTTCATTTGCGCTATACCCAGTAGCAGCTCTTGCCGTGGCCGCTCTACGAACGGGTTAATGGTCCAAATAATTCCAGGGACCGGGAGAGAGGAGCGGAGAGGCACACGGAGCAGTGCAGGGTGGTGGGTGACTGCAACCAGGCAGAGAGGTGCTGGGACGGGGCGCCCAGGTCCCTGTCGCCCAAGGCGTCCTGCCTGGCCGCCAGCAAAGCAGACGTTTTGTGCGAGTGAAGGTTGCTCAGAAGTTATTTTGGTTTTTGCTTCTCTCTGTCTTGTTTTTCAGCTCTTAAGATGACCATAAAGGAAGTGAAGAAGGAGAACGGGGATAAAATGATTGTTCCAAGGAAGAGAAAGGCACTGAAGCTGGGGCCCATCAGGAAGAAGAACCTCAAGAAGCTCGTACTGTTCCTCAAGAACGGGGCCGACTGCCCTTGCCATCAGCTGGACAACCTCAGCCACTACTTCCTGATCATGGGCCGCCAGGTGAAGACCCAGTACCTGCTGACAGCCATCTACAAGTGGGATAAGAAAAACAAAGAGTTCAAAAAGTTTATGAAGAAGATGAAGTCTCCCGATTGCCCAACGTTTCCATCCGTCTTCAAGTGACAAGGCGGGCGGTGGGGGTGCTGCTGGCCTGGACCTTGCACAGCCCCGGGCATGGCGGTTCAGATCTCGCTCCTGCGCGGGGGCTGCTGGAGCCCGAATCCCGTCTGTTTGATCCTCTGTATTTGTTTAGCGCTTCCTTCACAGATCCCAGCCCTCCCACCTCCCCCGTACCGGTATTTTCCTGAACGCCAGCGTGTGCAAGTGTCACGAGTTTATACCAGTCACCGAGGTCACAAGCTATTTTACATCTGCAGTATCCAAAGACTATAGCTGTAAGGATATGTAAATTCATTTAAATATCAACTATCAGGTAAAGAGGGCAGGCGGAGGGGTGTGAAGTTACAGCAAGAGATTATATGATCAGAGAGGACCCCTGTGACCTGTCTTACCCTTGTGTTTATGGCTGCAGGATTGCCCTAGATTAATTCCTGGTTGAACCAGAGCCAGTCTCTTAGAAAAACGTCTGATCCCGATGATAAAAGTTAATTAATGAGTTTCGGAGAATCCATTACAACCTTTGATAAGACCTCCCAATAGCTAATTGACCTCACTGTAAAAAAAATATCATTCTATTTCTAGTCTAAACGTGTTTAGTGTAAGCCTTAGCCGTGGGATGCTCATGCTCTCTGGACCTGCTGGAAGAAGAGCCCTGCTGTTGGCGCTGCGTTGTGCAGGGTCTTGTAGCCGTAGGTAGGACACTTGTCCCCGCTGAACTAGCCTGAACGATCTGCTCGAGGCCAGTGCTGTGCTCCTTGTTTTCCTGTCCTCGGAGCTGCCCGCGGCTCTACTCCCAGCCCTTCCCGGTTTGCCGGCTGGTCTCTGGCCCACTCGGCCGAGCGTCGCCGGTCCTCGCGCTCCCCGTGCTCGTTTTTAGCCACGTGGAGGTGCATGCCGCGTGCTGGCGAGCCCGGCGGCCCGGGACGCCAGTCTCGGGGAGTGCTCGCAGTCGGCTCCCCCGGTTTCTGTCACTTGCTAACTTTACCAGTGATGTTTTTATAGTTTCTTCAGGCTGCTGGCAAAATATCGGGTTGCAGAAGGCCAAGGACCGGTCCCTGTGGAGCGCCACGGGAAATGCATCGTCTCCGTGATTCCCTCTTTACAGCCACTTCGGGACCTATCAGTTTCTAGTTTTAATCCATTTGATGTGTGACAACTTGCTTTGTATCATTCTGGTTTTTTTTTTCTTAATCAAAATGTGATGTAATGTGAGGTCAAATAGTTTATGAAAGACAAAGACTACTGCATCCAAATCATTACCTTTATCGACCAAGCTGAAACTCATTATTCTGTTAATTGGACAAGCTCTCTTTTCCTTAGACCCACATTGCTCCACATTAATTATACTATCCTGCTTCCATTCATGACTCTCATCAATCATGATTACTCTAACAGAATGAGTATCAGGCAGTCT